CTCCACATAGTTAACCAAAGATATAAAGGCCTACGTTTAGACGCTGTCTGAACATGTATAAAGAACACGTATAAATTGTTTAATAATAGCTTCATACGCATGAACCAAGGTGGGCCATCACCTAGCAGTTAGCCATTAGCTGTTAGCCTAAGGAGCTAGTTACTATATGTGGGCGGTGGACGGGAGTCCGCGGGCAAAGCTGAAGTGATCGCTGCTCTGCAAGTGTGAGCTCGTTTAGCGGGTGGGCTATTTTGATAAATTGCTCTGATTGGCTTTTTACTCGCGGAGGTTTTATTGCACGTACAGTGGGGGATAGGTGTTTTCACCTCCATTAATATGTTTCAGTGACTCCCCCTCTGTCCACCGCGGCGTCTCAGCTACTCTCTGCTCCATGTGTCCGGCAGAATCGGCACCGCTCTGAGTCAGTCGCACCTGTGTGCCCAAATAATTTTTGACATTCACACACTGATTTTTACACACACCCTTGAGCCCTGCATGTCGATTCACCTGAGGATGATTCCCCACACGCTGCCGTGGCCACATGTTGCACTAAGGTCTCAGGTGTTCCGCGAGACTAACAACAGTGGTCAGTTTGCTCCATAGTCACAGTGGTGGTCCCTGGGCCACAATCAGTTAAAAACCCCTGTATTAAAAGATCGATTTCAGGAATTTATGAATCAATTTTGGTTCATTTAAATGAAGATTGATTTTAATGGGAAAACCAAATTTTAAACCCAGTCCTAATATGCATTCTTTTTGAGTAGTTTTACCTTGTCTGTGTCAAAGCTGCAGTATTTTGGTTATTAAATAGAACAGCACCAAAAGGCAACAAGTTAGCTTTTCCAGGGCCGTTTTCCAAATCATGAATTTGTGTCTGAGTGGTGATGAATGTGCCATAATTAATCGGCTAGATCAGCAGGCGTGGCAATGAATGTGTGAAGGACAGGAGAGCAACTAAATCTTACACCAAGTAGACGTCAGTATTGACATTGTGTCTGCTCAAATAGATCAATCCCCTCTCTGCCCTAGCCTGACCATGTCATTCAGACTCACTGGAAGAACACATTGATTCCCTACAATATTGCCACACAGGTTCACAAGGACATGCTCACAGCACGACCACAGACTGGTCCTTCCTGTGCAAGAGAGGAAGAAAAATAAATAATAAAAATGTATTTATGAAGAAATGTTTAAATTAATCCAGAGGCTGCCTAATCGATTTATGCTGTGCTGTGATTCATCAGAAGGAAACGACAGTAGACACCCTCCATGGTGTTGGCAAATATGCTGCGGCCATCAAGGGCAGGTTATGTTAGAAGGCCAGCCTGTAAGCCTGACTTAGCCTCTACCACAGGGTGAGAGGGTGAGCTGCACTGTGTTGGGGAGATAGGCTCCTGGTGTGGAGCTGGAGGTAACATAATATACCGGGAGCCGCATCCAGTAGAGCTGGGGCTGTGGATGTGTTTCTTTCAGAGACTAGGTGTGTACAGGGATGTAATTCAAGGTTAAATCATTCTCACCAGTTGACTGGTGGAATTCACTTTTGGGTTAAAATCCATAAGTTGTGTCATAATAATATTTGACTAATATACTGTAAGACTGTGTTGCATTGTACAGTATGTGTTTGTTTCTATTAACTTTCTATTAATACATCTGTTTTGTCTTCTACAGCAGCTGCTTCCTTTCCTTTCACATGCTGGTAAATATGGGGTGTAGCATTTATTATTATTACAGCTGTTTTCTATAACCAGTATATTAGTGGGACATTTTGTCTCAGCAGAGTAGAAGGGCAACGTTCAGGGCAACTGATGGCATCGTTCAAATTTCAAATTAAACATTATTAATATGTACTAAATGGACCAACTATTCAAAATATATTTTAGGATATTTTCATATGTCAAGGCACTAGTAAAAATGGCCACTACAGCAGAAATGGTCTAGCATGACTGCAGAGTCATGCCAGAGTAATATACGGCTCAGACATGATAGGAATAACATGTGGATTAGAGATCTAGCCACTCAACATGGAGGATAATATTAGCATCATTGCCCGTTGCATGTAGGTGGTTCCCAGGAGGATTTCTGCTGCTCATTCATTAGGCTGCTGAGGAATTAGGGACATACAGTATCTCCTATGCAAGGCTAGAGTAAAACCTCCCACCCATTCATCCATCCAGACTCAGTCTGTGGCCATATATGTTACTGCAAATTTCTACAGGTTTTCTTTGTTACCCTACACTATATTAGACATTACAGTACATTTAGACATAAATAAGATGAATTCTTCCAATTTGGAACAATAAAAAATGCACAAGAGGGTACTGCACACAGAGGCAGGGAAAAGTTGGCACACATTACAGTACCAAAGTACAGTGCATCAGTATGTTGTTATGACCTTACAGTCCATATTCAGCAATCCCACCAACACCCAATTTCCTCTCCCCTCCAGCTTTGACTAGACTCCTGTGATTATGAGGGGCTGGGTTCTTCTACTTTCACACCAGAGGGAGAGAGAGAACACGCGCATGTGTGTGTGTGTGTGTGTGTGTGTGTGTGTGAGAGAGAGAGAGAGAGAAAAACGATGGGAGGGGGAGGGGGGTTCCCGCAATGTTGGTCTCAGTAAGACCCGGGTACCGTGCTTTCCCTCTATAATTTAATCACATTCAGCTGTCTCCCTGTCCTCGCCTCGCTCAGCAGAGCGCATCAGGCACCGCGGTGGCACATACATGAGCGCACACACACACACACGAACACAGTTGCACACGTTCTCAGCACACCAACACAAGTCTGCCCCTAACAAGCAAGACATTTCCTCCTTCTTCTGGATAGGAAACTTCCCAAAGAACATGGCTTCATCTCCTGCCAACCAGCTTGTCCTGACTGTCTTAAGATGCAGGGCACTGAAGTGCAAGACCTCATTATTCTTACTGTGTGGCAGAAACAGGCATCCAAACATTAAATACAATGTGAAAATCCTGTGAGGAAGGAATGAGCTGCACTGTTCACCAGCATCTCTTTAATAATGTTTTTAAGAAAAAAGATTGTAATCAGACTGAATCTATTACTAAAGACTTACAGATAAAAAATGGATACTGTTATAAGAAGACTTTTACTGCACCGAAGTTGGTTTCTTGTCATAAAATAATCTTCTTGGCATAGGAAAAACACTGGTAAAATCCCCACGTCTCCATCATTTGATGACATAAGAAACATTCATTCTGACACACTTTGGGCAAAAGACAGTAGACACAAGTAGCTCACTGTGTATCAGATCTTTGTTTGTCTTGACAGAATGAAACATGTTGCAATGCATCGCCCTTCTGCTGTGTGTATACAGTATTGTATATGCCACCCACGGGAGCACACACAGCCACACACAACAACATCTGCATAGTCTTTTCTTAAGCGCAAACCAGAAAAACATTGTGTGTGGAATGAAATAAAGACTGAAGAGACTAGTGCACATGTGTTTTATTTATATCTCCAACTACTGTACATCCAACTCAAGTGAAAAGTTAACTGTATTTGAAGTTGGAAACTCAAGCCAACTTCAGATTCTCTCCTGCCCCTCCCTCATTCTCTTGCCTGTCTGCTTCCACTACTTCTAATTGTTTTCTGGCAGTCACAGCGCCCACCTTCCCTGGATGCCAGACAGTGTCCTCACTACCTTCCAGACCTCAGAGTGATAGCAAAAAGAACATGTCGCACAACAGGGGAGACTGACTTTGGCAAAGAATAAAAGCACTTAAAAAGCCATCAAATCTCACATTGGTTTATGACAGTAATAAGTAAGTAATATAGTAATTAAGAGCTAAACAAATGTATAGTAATAATAATGTTACCAAATAAACACTATCCTATTTTCCAACACAGCAGGAGTTTGCAGTGTAGCATTATCCACAGTAGGAGCGCAAAACTTACAAAGCCAACTTTTAAATGGGTGCTTCTATTGCATTACTACTTCTACATGCTTCTTTGTGAAATTTAAAAAGATTTATGCATAATTCGATGGTATTCAAACTGATAATTTCCAAGAGGTAAAGCGATTCTAGACAGTGTAACATAAACATAACATTAGTCATCGCAGAGCAACACGACTGGAACAGTGATGAACTAACCAAACCCATTAGGTCTCAGCCAGCTGGTACTTTTTCTTATTGAAGTCACTGCACCAGTACCATAACATCACACCACTAAACCTACCTGAACAATAAAGCAAAAAAACTACGTAGAATTCAGGCAAATATTTTTGGGTCATTCCACGCAGATCTTATCTTAGCTCGATTAGAATGAACATTATACCGTCAATGCCTTCAATCAATGGAAAGGCTAAGCATAAACAAGTACAAGTTACCTACCAACTGCAGTCTTCTCTTTAAACTTTTCCTCCTGCTCTCCAGAATGCGCTTCCTCTCCTGTTTTCAGTCTTTCCTTTGCTTCTCTCCCAACTCACTTACTGTGCTCACTGCAAAGTTGTGCTTTCCTCCTGCATGCAAATCATTTTTACGACTTGAGAGATGACTGGGAATGAGGGAAGGGAGAAAGGATGACAGAAGGGTGGAGGAGTAGCGATAATGGTTGGAAGGCAGGCGACCAATGGGCCTGAAGCCTAATGGAAAAAAGGAATCAGGACACACCAATGAGGCGCAGCCTGGACAGAGAGCGAGGACGAGAGAGAGAGAGAGAGAGATAGCAGGGGAAGCAGGCGAGAGAAGAGAAGGAGGGATGGCGAGAGCACAGCCAGGAGGAGACGGTGTAACGTAGACTGAGAAAGACACTGAGGGAGAGGGAAAGCACACAGAGATATAACGAGATAGAGCGAGACAGAGAGAGAGAGAGAGATGTGCATAGCGGATGCGCATGGTAGGTGGAAAGAGACAAGCATCCCAAGCGAGATGGAGAGACTGCACATCAGAGAGTACAAAGAGAAAGAAAAGCTAAAGAAAGAAAGAGGCAGAAAGAGGAAGGAAGAAAGGGAAAGAAGGAAGGAGCTGACTTACCCGGATACTGCTAGTGGCATCCTTCACACACTGCCTCGCAGACTCCACACACATACACATGCACCCACCCCAGCAATAGAGGCACACGCCGTGCTGCCGCTGAGACTAACCAATAGCAAAAACAACAAAGGAGAGGACTGCCAAAGCCGACCGGTATACCCTAAAGCAATTGTGTGTGTCAGTATGTGTGCGTTTGCATGCAGGCATGCATGTGTGTGTGTGTGTGTGTGTGTGTGTGTGTGTGTCTAGGAGAAAGGGTGGGAGTGTGTATAAGCATGTGTTTATGCTTGGAGGAGAGGGAGAGAAGGTGGAAGGCAGCTCATACGCTCTGTCTCCTTCCTCAGTCCTATAAGCTGAACTATTTTCCTCCTCTCTCCTTGAATATTTCTCTTTGTGTAACTCGCTTTCTGTACACTGTGCAAGTATGTCGTCCAACAGTCAATATGTTGTCCCCCCCACCCCCACCCCCCACCTGCTCTCTCTCTGCCTGCTAATGTGCCCTCCCTTCCCCTTCTACCTCTTATACATTTATTCAGGGCTGCAGACTATCTGCTCCCAGAGTCAGTTCTTCCCACGGGCCTGGGGTAGAGATGCAGCGAGGGAGGGCAGGGAAAGTGAAAGAGAACAGAGTGATGGTGGGGATGATAGTGTTCCATGTGGAACATGTGCAGTGCATTTATTTCAAATGGAAGAGACAAATTTGTGCCTTTAAAAAGACAAAATGAGCTCCACTTGTGGTTCAGTGCACATTAGCTGGCCTGGGATCATTCAGAGAGTTGATGCAAACTTAAAGAAAGTCTCATGCTGATCGCTGGCTTGCTGTTAATTAACGCTTTTTCTCCTCAATTCCAGGCTTCGAGGCTGGCTGAGCACCAGAATTAAGAGCGCAGAAGATAGATGAGTATTGAAACAGGCTAGCTGTAGCAATGTGTTCAGTGATGAGCACTGCTCCTGTAACCGGGGTATAATAATTACACAGAATGTAACCGGGATGTAATAATTACACAAAATGTAACCGGGATGTAATAATTACACAGAATGTAACCGGGATGTAATAATTACACAGAATGTAACCGGGATGTAATAATAACACAAAATGTTTTGGTTCATGTGCAAGTTAATTCACATGCCTGGTCAGGGATACCTCCATTCCACTAGGGCTCGCAGCTGAGCCATGCTTTTCTTTGTTGGTAGCCGGGTATAAAGAGGGGTCGCGCACCTCTTCCGCTCTCTTTCCTGCATGGTGTCGAGTGGAAAGAGGTGAGCGCTCCATCCATTTGTTACTATTTTACTTTTATTGTCCATCCTGGGTCGCATGGGTAAACTTGTTTTGTGCTTTTGTTTAGGAGCGAGCTGAGCACTCACTGGAGGCTATCTGTTTTATGTTTTTTTATCTCTGTGACCAGCAATAAAGGGCCCCATTGAATAGCAAATGTGTCGGTCCATGTGTCCCAAGCAAACACAACGCATCACGGCCAGTTACCAGAGGGACAGGCGAGATGGCGGGGACTAAGAGGACAGCTTAGAGACTCAAAGGCGACCGGTTACACGTGGTGCCGTGACCCGGATGTGATCCCTGATCAACTCCGCTCGACATCGGATTGCTGTCGACGCTTCGCCGCTTCGTCTCAACTGTGCTCCGCGAGGAACGCCGTCTTGATGGACCACCTCGTTTACCCTTTGGTTAAGGTTTGGTTTGGACTAAAGTAGAAATTATGAGGCTGTTGAAGTAGTGCTTTGTGAGAGAAGTTAATATTTTATTTCGTTTGGGGATTTGAAGGCATTAGTTGTTCATATATTCTCTAAAAAAAAAAAAAAAGAGAGAGAAGGAAAAATAAATATTCATTTTTTTTCTTTTTCCCTGTGACATTTACAGTTATGCAGCTAACATGTCCAGAAGAGGGATTAGAGAGTTGTGATATGCCCACTCACCATGCAACTGGGCTGGGAAGAGGTCAGCTGCTTACCCCTGGTTTTGGCAGAGGGAGGCTGGCATCCGCCTATGCTGGTAATGTGGGTGGACTGTCAGTTCTCCCACCATTGGAACCAGGTAAAGGTGGTTGTGCAGTCAGATGCGAAACCCCCTCCTTACTTTGAAGGTAACCATAAAGATGTTTTCCCCATCAGTGAATGGGAGGATATGATGAAGTGCTACTTGCAGAGGGTGAATTGTAACACACATGATGAAAGGTTCACTCTGTTAATGTCCAGACTCACTGGGAGGGCCAGAGATGTGGTTAGGGTGTCTTTGCGCTGTAGGCCACCTTTGCGCTGTTAGCCGACCATGACATAGACGGGTGTGAGGTAGAGCCTGAGTGGAAAGCGAGGCTAGCTGAACTGTTATTGACTTACCAGGATGTGTTTTCTAGAGACAAACTTGACTGTGGCGAGGCGAAGGGATTTGTCCATCGTCTCCATCTCACGGATGATTGCCCATTCAGGCTGCCGTACCGCCGTGTGCCCCCTGCTCACTACCATAAGCTGAGGGAGGTACTGACAGACATGGAGATGAAAGGCATCATTAGTAAATCCACAAGCGAGTACGCGTCACTGCTGGTGATGGCATGGAAGAAGTCGGGAGAATTGAGGATCTGAAACGATTTCCGCTGGCTGAACGCCAGAATGGTAAAGGATGCTCATCCTCTGCCCCACCAGTCGGACTGCCTTGCTGCTCTGGGTGGTAATGTCTTCTTTAGCACCATGGACCTTACATTGGGGTTTTACAATATTCCCCTTGTGGGATATTAAGCTGTGGGAGACATTACAACTCAAGTACTAACACTGTATTCTATGCACATATAAAGGAATAGGCACTGTAGTTGAAAAGTTAGCATCTTCTCCTATGCACTTATAAGGGAATATAACTTGCACTCAGATTGAAGCATCAGCACTGTCTTAGTTGAATGTCCTAATAAGGAGTATAACCTTCTGCATGATGCTTACCATCTTTGGAGGCATGAAGTTTTCCAGTCTCCTACGCTATCTGGACGACCTTTTGGTCTTTGCCCCTTCGGAGGGGGAGGCCATTAGGCGACTGGAGATTGTTTTCTCCCGCCTGCGCTCCAGTAACTTGAAGCTTGCACAGAAGAAGTGCCATTTCCTCAGGCGCTCGGTCAAGTTTCTGGGTCACGTGGTGGACGCTGGCGGTGTAGCAGTTGACCAAGATAAGGTGAGTGTCATCTCCAGTTTCAAGAAGGAGGACCTCATGGAAGCTGATGGTTGCACACCGTCGCAGAGGAAAATAAGATCTTTTCTCGGGATGGTGATGTTCTATCAGCATTTTATACCAGGTTGTTCAAGGATAGCTAAACCTCTGTTTGCATTGACTGCGGGTCAGAAGAGGAAACAGAGGGGCAGTGCAGGTCGTGGGAAGGCTGGAACTTTCCGGGAATTGGCCCCTCGGGATTGGACCCCCGATTGTGAGAGGGCGTTTGAGGAGCTAAAGGACGCACTTCTCAATTGTGTCATGCTGGCTCATCCCGACTTTGAGAGGCCGTTCCTGCTGTCCACTGATGCGTCCACGGATGGTCTTGGCGCTGTATTGGCTCAGGTACCGGTTGGCGAAGAGACGGCCAGACCCATAGCTTTTGCTAGCAAATCCCTCAGTAGAAGTCAGGCCCGGTACCCGGCGCACCGACTCGAGTTTCTGGCCCTAAAGTGGGCCGTATGTGACAAATTCAGCCATTGGCTGAAAGGCCATCGGTTCACCG